TCTTGTTTCCTGAGTATTCCAATTTTAAAACTTTTCTCTACTTTCTCAGGTAGGATTTTAGGTCATTATTTCTTGTCTCTAGTTTGTGAAAACTTTCTCATGTCTTCCTAGTCTCTCCCATAAATATGCAAGTTGTTCTTCTTGTAGATTTAGCCCCTTTACACTAATCTTCAGGCAGGAGTGTCTATTCAAACAAATGAAAATCAACCAAGATCCGAGTTACATCTGTGAGTTGTGTATGTGGGGAGTAGTATGTCAAAATCATATGGGGAACTTTTAAAAATCTAACTACACATACCATACACTCCACTCCACCCCGCCAATTCCTGCCCATACACATATTTAACATATCAAAATCTTCTGGGGGAAGGGACGTGGACTTTTCTTCTAAACAGCTATTTACTAATGTTTCTCTTCGTCTTACCATCTCTCTTACCCCGAAGTTGAGGATTACTGATATATACTTTCTTTATGGGTCAACATTATTTCTGTTATTAAAGATACTTGACATTCTGTATTCTATGACCACTGTGAGAAAGTTGTAGAGAGAAAGATTTCACCTCATTATGTGGAAGAACTTCATAATTTTATAATTTTGGACTATCCAGCAATGGGGATATGCTGCCCTGCAAAACAGTAAATTCTGTGTCTCTGGAAATGTTTACACAAGAGTTGCATGACCATCTGCCAGTCAGGAAAATAAATGAACATGAAGCAGTGACCTTTCTCTCCCGTTGAGAGCTAGGATACACAGTGATGTGATATTACAATTGACTTTGTAAACTATCTATAAACAAGGGATGTGTGAAAATGGAAATCTCACCCCACATCAAAGTTTACTTCATGTTCTTGAGAAATAATATTACGGGTAAGTACCTGTGTGAGAACTTCTTAGTGACGGACTGAATGATTCATGATAAACAGCTGTCCAAATAGTGATGTCATTGCTAGCAATGATACCATTTCAGTTGTCTAAGATGACTGAGAGGACTACTAGTGCTCCTGTGATTTCAGAAAAACTTGATATTGGAATGTTAAACTATAGCATGATGTGGTTTTCATCGCTTTTAAAACAATCTCTTTGCCAGATTAGAACAAAGTAATGATGAAAAGCGGGGTTAAGCCTATAACGTAGTACATTGATTTAAGGGTCACTGAAAACATTCTCAACTCCCAAATATCTCTTTTTTGCTTCCCTGATTTCTATCATTAGTGAGTCAGTCTTTTGAGTTAAGTGTATCCATCTCTCTGAACTTTTTGAAGGTGAAGAACAGAACTAGCCAAGCCTGCAGGGTCCTGTAAGGCCAGCTTCCAGAACAAGGAATTTCTCACCGGAGACCATGGGTAGAGAGTGAAGGGCACCATGTTTTATGCCAACAGAAAGGGAAGTACCACAGTTTAGCAAATAGAAAGGAGGACAGGAAGATACAAAACTGGGATACAGAACTTGAAATAGGAACCAGGAAGAGGAGAACAAACATCAGCAGGATAATAAAAACATGAATTAGTTCAGGAATTACCTGGCCAGGCTTTCTTGCCTACAATTTTTTTGTTTTGGTTTTTTTTTGGTAACAAAGAAGATGGGGCCCTTGGATCAGCCAAGGTTAAAGCTACAGTGGGACATATGGCATATAAAGGGAGAAGAACTGCTGAGAAGGGGAGAAGCTGAAGAGAGAGGTACTGATGGCAGGTTCATAGCCCTCTCAGCAACATGTTCCTGTTTGTAGGGTTTATTTTGGTTTGTTTGTTTAATCATTAGATACAGAATCAGTAAGGATTTTAAGGATATAACTTAATCTTTTGTAAAAAATGAAGAACATTGTATATCCTGGCCTTTTCTTTTTAAAAAAACATGTGAATTTACCTCAGTGCCTTTGAATCCATTTATTTAGGATAATTTAGACTCTACTTCCCTTGGACTTGGCTGAGGATATAGCATGATATCGATAAAAAGTCTGGCCAATCATTTTAATGCAGGGACCTCTGTCAGTTCTTTAATTCAGGGTGACATAGAAAGCACACATGCATCCCTGGTTAATAGTCTCCTCCCTGTAATTGGTTGGTTGGAGTATGTGTCTTCTCATTTTTGGACTTTGTTTTCCTACCTACAATAGAGGATTGGAGTCCAGTCACAAACTGGCCACCTATGAACTAAAGTAAGCCAGCAGACTGTTGGTTTGGCCAAGGCAGTGGTTGTTTTTCCTTTCATTTTGTTTTAATGCCTTTAGGGAGAGCATACAAACTCATATTTGCCTTGGGACCCACCACCCCACCCCAGCACTGAGTTACATCTAGCCTCTACATTTGTATTCCCCGCATGGCCCCTGAAAGCATTTGAATTTGTAGCTATAAGGTTACACAATCTGTTGAATCTCTTTTGGTTCCAAAGGCCTTAATTATACAAAACCTCTGAGAAGGTGAATGTTCACCTACACATACCACGCCCCGAATAGCAGAGAAAGCAGTGAGCTGGGAGGAAATTCATACATGGTGAGGGCTACCAGGTATCATGCTCGCTCTGCATATTACCTCATTTGATCCTCAAAGCACCCAGAGGGTTAGGTATTATCATACCCATTTTATAGTTGACAAAACACGCCCAGAGAAGCTAATACCTTGCCTATGGTCAGAAAGCTTATTAATTATGGGAGTCAGATTCAAACCCAGGTCTGTTTGGGTATAACACCTCCCTATGCCCTCATTCTAGTTAGTGGGCAGAAACCTCCCATAACGATCTCCTGAAGAATGAAGTTTTACACAGACTTTTGAAATATCTCAAACTTAGATAAAGAATGTCAGATGTCCAAATATCTCAAAATATTTAACAACAAGGTATGTTTGCATGCTGCTTTCCCTGACCAGTAGGGCATTGCCTTCATGCTGTGCTTGGGAACATATTTGACTGCTTAAGGAACCACATAGAATTTAGAAAATAATTCTAGAAGAAATTGGGCTTTTGTTCACACATTAATGTGACTTTGGAAAATATGTCACAAATCACTCCAACTAGAGATGTAAAGAGAATTATTTCTGTCAGTTAACTGCTCTGTTTTGTCAAAGAATACCTGTTATAAGTTCAACCTTGTTTGTACAAATTATCACTAAAATGTAACAGACCTTAATCTGAAAATAGTGCTTGATTACCTGAGAAGTTTACCTGGTATAGATCACTTCTGGTAATGAGAAGTTCAGGCACATAGAGGGACTGCATAAATGGAGACAGAGCCTTAAGATGATTATTAATTGAGTAGAAAAATTTTTGTTGTGCTTGCATTTGAGAGTTTTGTAAAAATTAAGTTTGCTAGTATAAACAGATTCCATGTTTAGAACGATTTCCATGTTATGTTAGTCACTGAATTAGTTTCTATTAAATATGGCCGCCATTAAATGTCCAGAACAAAAATTTTTAGAAGGGAATGAAAAGAGAAAGAGGATACATTAAAAAATAAGTTGATTTAACAAAAAAGTGTCTACATATGGCACTCTTCTGTAATTTTTAAACTTTAATTAGCATTCTTCTGACTTGATGAAAGGATTGAACCAAAAATTTTATTTATTTTTTTAAATCAGAGCCAACAGTGGTCACATGTACAGATAAATATTTTATGCAAGGGCAGTGTAAATTTATATAAGATGTATTAAAGCAATTAGACTGCTGGTTTCACTTTCTGTGAGTGGGGTTTGCGGGGCGGAGGAGAGGGGCATAGAAACTGCTGCCCTTTTCAAATAATTCACAAATGCACTAATTATGTGTCAGATATGAAAGTTGAGGTATTGTGACCTTCAAGCCAACAAAAGACCTTTTCAAGTAAGCCATTTCCATGTACATTAATAAAGTGAACAATACCCTTCTAAAGTTAAATAATGTATGACTGTTATTTCATTATATGTAAATGCAAACCAAGGAATTGCTTCACTGCTGATATATTAAAAGTGATACTATTAAAAACCAAAGACTATAAACCTACTTAAATAACATTTTATGGTACTCTTAAAATAGTGATCCAAAGATATGTTTGTTCATTTTCATTACATGTGGCTAATGGGCAGTTTCTCAGCAATTTTTATATTTTCAGTTTGAACTGTAAAAACTGAGATGTGTTAAAGTATATAATAATTAACAGAAGCATTGGAAACACTGGAAAAAATCTTGTTAGAAAATCTAACAATAAAGTATCACGTATCAGAGAAAATATTGCCTTGGTACACAGTCAGTCATCATGTTAGCAAGAGGAATGTTGAATAAGAGTGGGGTCAGAGGAAGGGAAAATAATTCTAAGCTCTTCTTCATGGCTCTTTCGTGTATAAATAATGTATTTGTAAATACTGGAGATCAAGGTAATTATTTAAAAGAGTGCTGTGCACTTTCTGGAAGAGAATGTGAGCCCCAAAAGCAATAATATATAAAGGAATTTAGGTATCACTGACACTTGAATCAAACCAACTGCTGCAATGTCGAACAGTGTCCAGGAAGTTGTAGTTGAACATCAAGAACAGGAAGAAAAATATAATTGTATTTGTCCAGCTTTGTAGTAGATTTGACACTGAATAAAACATGAATAAAGATACAGTCATGCGACCTCTGGGAAATAATAAAACAATTACAGACTTAAACCACAATCGTGAGATTCCAAGAACTTATTAGCATTCAATCCATAGATAAACATTTTTTTTTTTTTTTAATCCCACAGGAAACTCTTACAGTTGTCTTCTTATTATGGACTAGATGTTAATACCAAGAAACTGTAGGGTTTACTGATTCATTCATCAGGTTTCCCTTTTGTTTTAAACAATTCTTTCTCTAGGGCATTTCGTTGGTATTTTTTTTACTAGATTCTTTGAATAATTCCATAAAATAGATACCAGTGACATTTATGAGAATGCTTGTCACTGAGATTTTTAATGAACCTGTACATGCTTTTACTTGCCTAAGCTAACAAGTGTTTTTGCATTTTCTCGATTATATGAAATAATTTCCATTATTTTGGATTGAATTTCAGGTGGCAAATCTTGCTTGTTCCATGTCAACAAATGAAGATGGAATTAAAATTGTCAAAACTGCAGCCAGTCACCTAGAAACCTTGTGTCCACAGGTAAGAAAACTAAGTTAATATCCTCCCTTTCATTAAAATATTTATGCAAATTATCTATATAAATTTATATATTATTTTATTATGTTACTATTACTGTTTATGTTATTAGTTATTGTATAGAAATGATTTATATATAATATATATATGTTGCTGCATACTTTTATACATTAGAAATATATTAAGATAATTTATTTTAAAAAACAGAGGACTGAAGTGTCCTAAGGTCACAGTTTATTTTTCACTAAACACCTGTTTCCGGTTCCTTCTTTTAGTTAATTCTGAGAGATTTGATGTTAGTTTCAATTAATCTTCTTTAAGAAAAATTTCAAGGATCTTTGAAAATGGACACACTGAATCATGATAATTAAGTGGCCTTAATACATCAACTGATCTTGTTCATTCCTTCCCACTCAAGACAAGGAAAGGGGGAAAGGGAGATTGTTTTACAAGACCACTAAGGAAAAAAAAAAAATCTGGTCTGTATTACAAATCCTAAAATATTGTAGCTCTAAAGGATCTGAGAGCCAAGTCCTCTTATTCTATGAATAAGCAAACCAAGGACTAGAAAATCCAAATATTTCATAGGTATTTGCTTGTGAACCAGTAATTGTTTTAGGGAGTAAAACCAAATGCTGATGAAACCTCAATAAAAGCATCGTGGAAAACCTTGAAGCCCGATTTTACTACTTGAAATGATAAAATCAATTTCTTTTGATAAATTGTTTTGCTTTGGAGTACTTGGTAAGAGTTATTTTCTGATACAAGATAATAAATTATGTGATATATTTTGCCAGGATGCTTTCAAATACGATTCCATAGTATTAAATTATAACTTAGGTTCAAAAAAAAACCACACACACGTTTTATTTTAAAAACTGATCACTGAGCTACTTTTCACTAAGTATGAGGGTTATTATGAATAAGAGTTTGTGTTTCATGTCCTTATCAAAGATAACTTTCCTCATTTGCGTGAATGCACAATGCATCCCGTTCATACAGTATTACGGATTCTCAAAAAGGACTGTCAGTAAAGGGAAAGTGTGGCATTCCCTAAAGGGCCGTATTGGGGTCTGCCAAGGGAAAGAGATAGTTTGAAATCGAAGTATAACTTTGTCCAAATGATTTGGTTTATTTTTCATCATTATTTATTTTGAAATGTCAAATGATTTGAAAAGAGTGCTTTTATTTCTTTTTATCAAAGGAGTTCATGGGTTTGAAAAAAATCAAGAAATCCTTCCCTCTTACCAGTAATTCAGAATTTCTTAAAATCCTAGGTGCAAAACATTTTTAGGGAATTATTTCTAGATGACTAGTAGTCTTGAAGCAATCAGTCAGGATACACATAACACAATCTTAATCACCTTATCTTACAAGACATAAGAACTAAAATGGATAAATAACTTCCTAATACTTAGCCACTCTGATTTCTCAGAGACATCTAAAACTTAATATAGCCAAAATGGCACCTGTGATTCCTCCATTCTTGCCTCCTTCTGCTTCTTCTTCAGTCTTTGAAATTTTAGTTAAAGGCACAGGCATTTATGTAGTTGCTCTAGCTAAAAACCTGGGGATTTTCCTCGATTCATTCAGTAAATATGTAATGAATATCTACTATGTGCTAGGCATTGTTTTGTGTATCTGGGGGTAAAATAGTAAAGAACCAAACAGACAATTCCCTATCTAATCCTTTAACAAATTCTATCAATTTCACACAGAAAAAAATCTATCTTGAATTTATACCTTCTCTCCATCTTGTCTGTCAACATCTTAGCCTATGTATCATCATCATCTCTATCTTGCACTACAAAATATCATCCTATATGGTTTCCATGCTTATACTCATAACCTTCTAATCTACCCACCATACAATAGTCAAAGTAAATTTGAAAATATGTTTTATCAAAATTATTGCTTAAGGAAAGCTAAGGGAGATTTTTACAGTGAAAAGCTAACTCCTTTTTATAGCTTAAGCAGACCTGTGTGATCTTCTGACTGTATTACTTTCAAACCTACTCTATATTATTTTCCCTTTCACTCATTAGATCTCTGAATATCGGCCTTTCTTTTTCTAGAACACAATAAACCCAGTCACACCTGAGGGACTTTGTGCTTTATTAATTTCCCACTGCTCTTTTTCCACGTGGTCATATAAACAGCTTCTTTTATGTTCAATTTATGAGATCTCAGTTCAGACATCATCTCCTCAGAGGTCAATCCCTTAAATCTCACTGCTCTCCCAGTTACGCTGTATTATGGAAACATATTTATTTGTTTTAGAGCTTATATAAAATTTGAAATTAATTATATTTTTATATTAATTATATTAATTTTATTTAATTTATTTAATTAATTTATATTAATTTATTTATTTTTTAATGTATACATTCCACACTAAAAATAAAGCTCACGAAGACAATGGTTTGTTCCTTCATAATCACTACTTATATTCCCTGTACTTAGCAAAAATACAGCATATATTGGATGTTCAATAAACATTTGTTCATTATATAAATGAGCGATAGGGTTTCTAGAATGATTAATTATTCTAGATACATAGAAGGCAGTCAGGTTTCTGGTAACATCTTTTATGATACACTTCTTATCGTGGCATGTCTTCTTTTTGATAATATAAACAGAAAATATGATAGTATACTTAATTTGAATTGTAACTGATGAAAAAATATCCTTAAAATGATTGATTAAGGAATAGATGCTAACCAAGGGTGAGACCTCTACTAGTAGGTTAAATTGATCTACTCTTGGCCTAGTCCATTTCAATAATTTACTAGTGATTTGGATAAAGCATAGAATAATTATTTTCAAATTTTGCAGTTAAAAGTAAGAACCTAAAGGTCCATAGACAGAAGAATAGATAAACAAAATGTGGTACATACATACAAATAGAATACTACTCAGCCGGTAGAAGAAACTAAATCTTGATACATGCCACAATACAGTTGGAGCTGAAAGACATTATGCTGAGTGAAATAAGCTAATCACAAAAAGACAAATATTGTATAACCTCACTTATATAAAAAGAAAAGAAAAGGCAAATGAATAGAGAACAAAGTTTATTAGTGGTTACCAAGGGCTGGGGGGAAGGAGAAAAGGGAGGTTAATGGTGATAAAAATATCACAGTGATTAAAGGTAGGGTTGCACAGCCGATTGTTGTAATTGCTGTCAGTAAGTTGTACATCTGTTAAAAGTTGAATTGGCAAAAGTTGTGTGGTAGATATATTTACAACAAGGACAACAGCAACAAAAAAGAGTAGCTGCTGAGGCTGCTTATGTACAACCAAAAACCTCATGGGATTTGGTTCCTTGATTGGAGGTTTAGGGTCATGGCACATCCCAATTAATTGGCCTAATAGCATGTTTAATACTTCTGTTCTACCTCCTGCTTTGTTGCATAGTGCCTGGGGTCTTAAATGCTTGCAAGTGACCATCCAAGGCACAAAAATTTGTCTCTATTCACCTGAAGCAACAAAGAAAAAAGGAATCAGGAATAGGAGGAGGATATGGAATGTGTGGCTGATTGCCTCCATGAACAACTACCTCCTTAGCCATGAGACCAGAAGAACTGGATGGTGCCCAGCTACCATTACTGAACATTTTGATCAAAGATTCCATAGAAGAATCCTGATCAAAAGGGGGGAAATGCAGAACAGAATTTCAAATTCACATGGACTCCAGACTTCTTGGCACCATGAAGATTGAATGAGCCCCTGTAACTATGGCCTTGAGATAATTTTTAAACATTAAACCAAAAATCTCCCCTGAAGTCTTCTTAAAACCAAACAATAGTTTAGTTTAACTAGTAAAAAATGTCTGCCTTGAGCATTATGCTCTTTTAAGAACTATCTATATGGGATCAAATTGATAATAGAAACTCGAAGATTAGATAAGAAACTTAGAGGGCAATGAATTTATGTTAATGGTGAAGGAACGACTCAGAAAAGGAGAGTGAGAATTGTTGTACAACTTGAAGAATGTAATCAGTGTCACTAAATGGTACATGTAGAAACTGTTGAGTTGGTGTATGTTTTGCTGTGTATATCCTCAACAACAACAAAATAAATAAAACTAAAAAAAGAAAATATAAAAATACATACAAGAGCTGAAAGAATCGGGTCCCAAAAATCTGGATATTCTAGAATATGGACTAAATCTAATTAGACAGATGAAATATACAAGGTATAAATATAAACCATATATATATTGGGCACTATTTTAGGATTCTCTAGAGAAGTAGAACCAGAATATGTGTGTGTGTGCACATGTGGACACACACATATATACAATGTATAGATAGACACACACACAAGGCCTTTGGTTAATTATACATACAGAGAGAGCAAGAGAGATTTATTTATTTTATTGGCTCATGCGGTTGTGGGGGCTGGCAAATCCAAAATCTGTAGGTGAGACGACAGGCTAGAGATTCCTGCAGCCTTGTGTCCCATAATCTGCTGGTCAGAAGATGGGAAGAGTGAAGTGTGAGCGAATTCTGACAAAATGTTTATTTATAGCCTGGAGGCAGAATGTAACCTAAAAGGCCTTTAACTGATTGATTGAGGCCTGCCTGGATTATGGAAGATAATCTGCTTTACTTAAAGCCAATTGACTTAATCACATGTAATTGCTTTGTAACAACAACTAGTGTTTGATCAAACAACTGGACACCATGGCCTAGCCAAGCTGACACATAAACTTAACCTTAACTGTTGCAGACACCATAAAACTAAAAGTAGGGGATGGAAGAAATATGTGTTAGCAATAATATACCCTCCTAAATGCTAGACTCAAACTGTGATGTTGGCTAAGAATATTGAATAGACCATGTACTGCCAAAATAACAAACAAATCAATCTTAGAAGAAATACAAGATGTTCCTTAGAAGTGAGAATGGCTAGACTTTGACTTGCTTGCTTTGGATACATCATCAGGAAAGGCCAGTCACTGGAAAACGATATCATGTTTGGTAAAGTAGAAAAAACAG